CTGTGTGTGTGTGTGTGTGTGTGTGTGTGTGTGTGTGTGTGTGTTTTGAGTGTGTGTGTGTGTGTGGGTGGGTGGGTGTGTGGGTGGGTGTGCGTCGTGCATCCGCATTCCGGATTCGGGCGTGATAGACTGCAATCACGTGAGATCCGGATTTCAGCTAGTATCTGTGTGCACCCCGCGTCGGGTTCTGCAGCTTCTGCTGCCTGTTGATTGGGCGGCTCGATTGGCTTCTGAAGCTTCTGGAAAAGCAATGGCAGTTAGCCTGAACATCTAGACCGCAGATCTCTGCACCTATCTGCGGCTGATAACAACACCACCCACAGTTCGTTGCTCCATCCTATGGGCCTCTTGCTCCGCTACTCTCCAAATTTGCAAAACGAGAGTGAAGAATCTTCCACTAGAACATGTAAAGATGCACAGCCATATTGTTTGTCGTTTGTGCATGTGCACAGTAGTGGAGCGATGCCCTATTTTTCCTGTTTTGCCTTTTTTTTCCCCTACTGTAGCCGGCGGCCCCACGGCCCCCACCGACCCAATCGACGTCTTTGTCTCCGCTTCGTCTTTGTCAGCAAGGTGCACATTTTCTTGGCGGGCCTCAAGAGCGGTGCACGAGCGGCTGCCACGTCGGCAGGGAACGAACTGACGTGCTTGCTACGCCCATCCTCATAATCATGATCATGATACTACCAGACCAGATGCAATGGCCAGAAAGAAGGACCGGTCGGCGGGAAGAGCACCACCAGCAGCGGACGAAAAGCGATAGAGAGAGGGAACGGAGTCAGGAGGAGGGAGGAGGAGGAGGAGGAGGAGGAGGACGGAGTGCGCGGGCGGACCGGTTTTGGCTGAGGGATATGGCGGGGAGAGAGAATTGGGGAGTATTTGGAGTACTCCCGCCACAACTAGTTTTTTTTTTCCCCCTCAAAATTCAACATCAAATTACAACTAGTTTCAAGTTTCACCGAACGAATGTGACTTTAATCGTGGTCAGATTCGAAGAAGGGTCCGTGAGCAGGCAGTTGGAGCAGATTCGGCGTTAGATAATCAGTCTCCCCTTCTCACGTTTCGCTTCGCGCCTTCCCAACGTCGAGTACGGGCACTACATTTGGAAGGACAGAGTTTCTCCCGGCGCCAAGTCCCACCAGCAGCGTTGAGTTTCCTCAAACGTCTGAATCTGGACATGTTTTTGGATATGTGCAGAAATGGCGTCCAGTTTCCTCAAACGCACATCTCCACAACACTTCCAGATTCAGGCGCTGAGGAAACTCAACGCTGCTAGTGGAACTTGGCCCCCCCGTACCACTGGATTTAAACGCTGAGCATGTGGACGTATTCGTGGCGAAGTGCAGGAAATTGCAATTGAACTGCTTTTCTGCATCTACGCAGAAAACATGTCCAGATTCCGTAGCTGACTCCAATCCTCCTCTTTTCCAGTCGGACCTCGCCCCCGCCCAAGGACGGACATGCGCAAATCGAGAAAAGCAGTCCACATCTGTTATAACAGTTTCTGTTATAATTATTATTTTATTTTATTTTATTTTATTTTATTTTATTATTATTTTATTTTTTTTTGCAGAACACATTCGTTCATTACACATCGAAGAGGAAAGAAAGCGGGGTCGGCCACCCCACATAATGGCCAGTGCTGGGAGCATTACCCAATATCGTTTTTTATGGGACTCCTTGAGACCCGGGGCAAGGTCCCACTTGCGCCGATTAGGAGATTTCGGCCGTTGATCTTTGCGATCTACGGTCAGTATCTCTTAATTCGTGCAAGTGGGACCTAGCCCCCGAAGAGCGGAGCAACCCAAAAAGGAAGATCCCACAGGAAAAGAAAATTGTAAATAGCCCGACGAAGAACCTGCCGGCCAGCGTCCCCAAAAATACAAAAACGAAAAAAAGAACCTGCCAGCCCGCCCGCCACTTTTGGCACTCGTGCGTAGGCTCCCGCCACCTGGCCCTTTCATATTCGGTGCACTTCCCTGGTTGCTTCAAAAGACGCCACGAAGGCAAGAAGTACACTGCGCAAGTGCTCGGCTTGTGGGCGCCACCAGTAGCAGCAGTCCAGCTCCCCCTGGGGGGCGCGACCACTGCGGATTTGCCTTCCCGGCAGAATCGCACAAATCTTCCTTTTTTTTTTGTTTCTTGTTTTTTTGTTTTTCTTTTTTTTAAGTTTTTTTTGAAGGGCGATGGCCTTGAGGTATTATCATATCGTGCAAGTGGGACCTAGACCCAGGGTAAATTCAATCTCGGTGTCTTATCTGACACCGGCGGCGGGTGGCCTTATTGCCTTCAGGGAACCCCCTCTTTTTCCTGCAGAAAGAGAGGGGGGGGAATGAAAAAGGAGGTGTACGCCTGGAAACCCAGTAGCGGGGGTTTAGAGTTGGTTGGCGGGGAGTTAGATCGGTTCGTGTCATCCGATCTGAACATCTCACGGCCAGAATATGGCCACGTTGAAAATACTCGAAACGAAGACGAAAGCCCAGATAGTATTTTACTCATCTGCTTCCAGGGGAGTGGGAACTCGGCTCATATTTTGACAGTTGAGGGGTTTATCACCTGAGCTAAGCCAGTTGGTAAAGCCCAGTTAGTAGGACATCAGCCCCCAGCATACCCACCGGCAACGCGGAAAGAGCGAGCCTTTTTTTTTTTTTTTTTTTTTAAATAGTAAGGGTCTAGTGGCTGAGGCCGGGGTGCTCAGGTCATCATCTGGGAGCCTTACCCAGTTTCGCTTTTTACGAGACCCAGGAAGGGACCCGAGAGACAATTGTAACATATGTATTCTACACCAATACTGCCCTTAATATGTCGGGCACGGGGCATTGTCGTTAACGCCCGGACCTGAAAGGCTGACGAAGCCAGCCAAAACAATTTTTTTTGTTTCGCTGGCGGGTAGGTGTGAAATGGCGCGCAGGGCATATTCAGGCTCGACATCGATACGTGGGCCAAGTACTGGTGGTTTGATCAAACTAAGAGCGAGCCTTTCGGTTTTGCCCAAGGGATTGGCCTCGCAGCTACAACTCCCTGGTTGGGGCCGGCTGGATCCGCCAAGGATCCAATATACCTGATTACAAGTCGTCATTATTCTTTCTGTATGTACACTACCATGGAACACCCTGCTCTCTCCCTAAGGGCCTTGCCACACTACTCGCGAAAGTGGCTGTTTTCTGGAGTGCAACATCGCCACACCAGCTCCCAAATTTGATCTGTCAGATCAAATTCGGAAGCTGTCAGAATTTCACTCCCGAGAGCACTCCCGGAACCACAGCCTGCAAAGCTGCATTTTCGGGAGAGCTCTTTCGGACCTCCGAGTTTCATCCCAGCTTCCCGAGTGGAGCTCAATGTGACAAACATTCTTGGGTCAGACTGCTTCCCATGGAGCGTGTCCGTATATGGCAAGTGTCATTTTCAGTCCTGGAGAGCGGCCCGTTCGAGAGTGCGGTGTGGCGAAAGGCACTCTCGAACGGGGTTTCACGTTCCGGAGCACTCCAAACGTTTTCTACAACTCGGGAGTGGTGTGGCGAGGCCCTAACAAATGAGGTAGGTTTAGATATAATAGTGTTAGCGCGAAAGCGAAGTTGTAGCAGTTGTCTTAGGGACCTCCGTTGGAATTGGAACGATACAGAGAATATATATATATATATATATATATATATATATATATATATATGTTGAGGGTTCAGCCTCCTGATGAGTCGGTGAAACTCCGACGAAACAGTTTGTCACAGCCCCTCGTTTGTTGTCCTCTTCT